ATTAACCGCGATAAACGAGGGTTCACTGTATTCACCAGGCTCCATAGCAAGAATTTATACATACTAAATGTAACCAAGGACAGGGCTTTTGTTTAACTGCTTTGGGCAATAAAGAAACTTTGAAAGTGAATACATATGTGGGTGGGTGGGTGAACTAACTACACACAAGGAATGGTCTGGCTAATGGAGTTCAGAAGGAAAGACAATAAATCAAGTAAAAGAAGACATGAAGATGGGGTTGGTGAACTTAGTGAAAGAAATAATAGAAAAAAGGGAGAGTTGGGAGAAAAGGACTGGTGGTGCAGTGGTCAAAGCACTGGACTGCTAACCAAAAGTTCAGGTCAGTGGTTCAAATCTACCAGCACTCTCCCCAGAGGAAGAGGTGGCAGTTTGCTTCTATAAAGACTTACAGCCTTGGAAACCCTACTCTCCTGCATGGTCACGAGAAGTTGGATTGGACTCAATAGCAATGGGTTTGGTTTGGTTGAACTGTAACAGGAAAGAAAAATTCAATAAAGATTATGTTAAAATGTTTCAGATATATAGTTTGAAATGGTAGCCCCTCTTTCACTTTATTTGATTGTTCTAAAAATTACTGAATTACTATTAGTTGTAATTCACTTCCATTAATTCGTTTTCCCCACAAGGCTGTAATTTCTCTTCCTATTACATTTTTTTCTTTTTGCCTCACCTGCAAAAAAAAGAGAACGCTAAGGAAAGAAAATCATTTCAGGTGCTAGCAGAGATGTGCAAACACAAGGGGACAGGAAATGAAATAAAAGTTCAGTGTCATGGTTACGACTCTTATTTATGGCTAGCATACAGTCACAGCTATTTGTGGTTAATTTGAAAATTATTATGGTCTGTTGTCCATTCCCCATTATTTAATATTTATTTATGTCACCTGCTTCTACTTGGATATTTGAGCACTTGCTATTGATGACCTCTTTAGTTATCACTTTTGACGAAAGTGAAGGTGAACTTGGTAAAATGTAGTTATCTTACCATCCTGGGAAAAAACACCTGAAAACAAATGCCGTACAGCTGAGGAGAAAAAGATAGGCAGGCAGGCTTGGCTCCATCAACTTGTATTTGAAAAACATGCAATTAAATCTCTTATTACTAGACTTGTGCCAGAGAAATCATGTAAGATGGATATGCCACTTGGGAAGATTTCTAGAACAGATTTACACATTATTCTTAAGTGTGAATTTTCATGTATATGATTATACCATATATTCTTATTTTGCAGGAGGTTGGTGAACCATCTAAAGAAGAGAAGGCTGTAGCCAAATATCTTCGATTCAACTGTCCAACGAAGTCCACCAATATGATGGGTCATCGGGTTGATTATTTCATTGGTAGTATTATTTATAGCATTAAAATCATTAGGGTGTATCTTATGAATATGCCTCATCTGAGGTTTTGCAACTTTTTATAGTACTTTCTAAGGAATTGATAAAGCTGAATGATAGGCATGTGGCAATTGTAGTGATTGAAATTTTCTTTAAGTGTTTTTCAAAGATAAACATTTGTTGGAAATTTTAAAAATAGGATTTATTTCCACTGTCATACTACCTTTGTTCAGAGAGATTGATGGCTATAAAACTCTACATCAGAGTTCAGTGTGAAACTGTCCTGTTAAAGCCAACTTAGGAGCTTTGGTTCTCACATTATCCAGATAACCTCACTATAGGCTGATGCCCTTTATCATAGAGCACTATAGCTTATGTAGTGGTTGGATTTGCCTGTCTTCACCAATAAAAATGCATTGCCACTATATCTGGAAAAGAAATTCTTTTATCTTTATGTTATGATTGACTTTGGCAATCCCCTTTTTTAAAGTAGACATACTATTCAGATCTAATATGCTTAGTTTATCTCTAGTAACAATAGTGAGGATTCCTGTTGGTACGATAGTGAAACCCTTCGGCTGCTAACCCAATAGGTCAGTGGTTGGAACTCACCCACTGCTCTGAGGCAAAAGACAACATGCTCCTGAAATGGTAAAACCATTTGGGGCAGTTTCTATTCTACCCTGTCCTACAAGGTTTCTGTGAGTCTGAATCAACTTTTGATGGCAGTGAATTTGGTTTGTTTTTTTAGTACAGAGTCCGGGTGGCTCAATGGTTAAGCAGTACAGAGCCCGGGTGGCTCAATGGTTAAGCGTTAACACTGCCAACTGAAAGGTGGTTCAGTTTGAACCCACCCAGTGTGGCTCTTCAGGAAAAAGACATAAAGATCTACTCTTAAAAATAACCGCATGGGAAATCTTTGTGGGTAGTTCTACTTGGACACATGGTACCAATATTTGTCTTGAAAATTTATCTTGCTTTAGTTAATAATTGAATACCATTTATTTCCCATCTTACTTGGAAAAGATGTTCATTAATAAGTTGAAGTTTTAAACGACTAACATCATGTCTGACTTAATTTACTACATTAAAAGACTTTTGCTTTAGTGGGTTTGTCTTTGTTTTATTATTTTCAGTTGTCAAAGTGTGAAATTTTCTTTGCATAGCTTTGAGTTTGACAGATATGAATCCTCCAGTATATTAAATTCAAAATGCTTCCTTTTAGCTTCAAAAGCAGTGGATTGCCTTTTGGATTCAAAGTGGGCAAAGGCCAAGAAAGGAGAGGAAGCTTTATTTACAACCCGGGAGTCTGTGGTTGACTACTGCAACAGGTAGTGTTTATTTCTTACTGAAGGATAGCATAAATTGTAATTTTAAAATACATTCTGCATGTTCCTGAAACTCCTTAACTATTCTCATCATTAGACTATGCTATTACACTCTGGCCCAAGCAGTTTTCACCTGTTACCTACAATTTTATTTTTTTCCAGCATCTCTGAAGATGATTTTATTTTTGTATTTTATTGTTACATCTTTTAATTAATTTTTATTTTTCTGTTCTGTACAGTTAAACATTTGCAGGGTAAGCAATAAAACTCATAAACCACTGTATACAGTGAACAAAAGAGTTCTTTTTTAGAGCAATTGGTTGGGGAGTTTTCCCAAAAAAACTTTGGCAAGGATTCCTTGTAATTGTTGTTCTTGTTTTTGTGTATTTACTGACCTGTAAGTCAGCAACCTTCTCTGTTTGCTTGTTTAGTGAATGCTAATGCAATGCCTCCTTGGAAAATCAGGCAGCTGCAACATCTATCAAGTCTTTTCTTGAGGATCACAAGGCAGAGGCAGTTCACTAATATATCTATGGCTTTTTATAATAGAAAAATCTTTGGTGTGCCTTAAAGACAAAAATCACTTTCTTCATTCTTAGAAATAATACTGTATTTTTTCTTAATAATACTTAAACAATACATTAATAGCTGTTAACTAAGTTTTATTTTCATGACACTAAAGCTAATTTGTAGTCAGAAGGAATTTGAGATTTTAAGTCTCTGTGTTTGTTAGGAATATGTAGCATTCATTTACTAATACTTCATTTTCACACCAGGTTTACAGACATTTTTTATATACCTGTCTTTACGGACACACATCAAACTAACATGTGACCGAAACCACCATTTTCTTTAAAAAAAACAACATATTTCATTTAAAAACAACATAATTGTACACTATTAATTTATAAATGAAACTGTAGTATACATTTATATAACATTTATAATATTTAAAATTACAACATTTGAGATACTTGGTTCTATGTATTGTGAGGTCACTTGGATTTGTCAGTATAACAATCTCTGCTGAATTGTTAGTGTGTACATTTGATGCTTACTTTCTAGGAACGTTTTTTACCACGGTTATATTTATTACTGAAGTAATGCTTTCATGAATGAAACCAATTTACTGGAATGAATACTCAATTTAAGATCCAGTCAAATTGACTTCTATCCATAAGGGATAGGTATACCACATAGAGAATTTTGAGACTGGAAGGTTTAGAAGAAATTTATATGGGTATATATCTGTCTCCTTAAATAGATAAAAGCCAGCATACATAGTAGGAGATAAATGTAAATGTTTTCTGTGACTTTTGTTGAGGAAATCAAAATGCATCCAAATGATTCACCCAGTAAACCTACTGTTAATGGCCCTTAAAGTATCTTAGCCATGTGAGGGAACTGCCTTAAAATCACTATTTCATCATCTGTCTTACTAAACTATGCAGCTAGTTATCAAATCTTTCTTAAAGTTCTTAGTTGGCAAAATCACAAATGGATCTTTCAGAGACTCAGTTTCATTGTTGGAGAAGGATGAGCTAACATTGTGGTACAATTGACATTAATCTTGTGTAAGAATTGACCAAAGTGCCAATTTTGTCTTCTGTCTGCCTCACAAGAGTTTTTATTTTTATATTATTTAATATTTTATATTAAAATGAAGAGATTCTGCAAACGCAGATACTAGGCACAAAGAGGTTAGGTAACTTGCCCACAGACTTTACCCAAGTCACAGAGAAAATAAGTGGCAGAGCCAAGAGTCTAACTTTGTACCCCTTGTTCTTAACTACTGCTTTGGACCATCTCCATACATACCAGATTAATGTGCTCTGTGCTCTTTCTGAATTAATAATGCTAAGAATAGCTAATCTAAGGCAACCACGGAGCTCCCCTGGTGACTAGCACTCATGAGTTCCTGCACAAGCACAAATACAACTTCAGCCATTTTCTTAAGCTAGTGACTCAAGAGAATCTTAGGAAAAACAAGAAAATGTACAGTGATACACAAAATAATTTATTTAATATGTCTAGAAACAAGTATTTACCCTATCTTTTTATGGCCTATTTCAAGTATAAATTCTTCAACCATTAATCATCCATGTGACTTCACATCATCAACTCCCAGTCCGGTAATCCTCTCATCTGGTCTTTCTTTGACCATAACTGGCCACTTCCCATGAATGGTTTCTTACTTCTGTGCTGCCTATCTCTAAATATCAGAGGCATTCCTCCTGTCTTACCTCTACCAGGTCCTCAAGACCACATTAATCTTTATATTTAAAATTTACATAGTAAATATATCGTAAACATTTTGACCTTTAACTATTGTATTGTTGTTTCACCTGAGTTGATTTTTTTTTTTCCTGCTAAATCTGAAGACTGTTACAGGGCTATTCTTTTTTTTAGTCATTTTTTTGGGGGTTCGTACAACTCTTATATATATGCATACATACATGGTGTCAAGCACATTTGTACATTTGTTGCCATCATCATTCTCAAAACAATTTTTTTACTTGAGCCCTTGGTATCAGCTCATTTTTCCCCTCCCTCTCTCATGAACCCTTCATAAATTATAAATTATTATTGTTTTTTCAGGTCTTACACTGTCTGATGTGTCCCTTCACCCACTTTTCTATTGTCTGTCCCCCAGGGAGGGAGTTATATGTAGATCATTGTGATTGGTTCCTCCTTCCCCTTACTCTCCTGGTAT